ATGCCAAAAAATACCAACTTCTTGAGGAAATTATCGCAAATTTGATTTGAGGTGCTAAACCGCTTTCCGAACTTACTTACTTTGCATTACTGGAGAGGTTAAATCATATTTTGGACAACAATTATTAAAATAAATTCTTATTGCATTCTGTGCCCTATTTACTGGATTTATGCAAGCTCTTGACTTGTCACGCATAAAGTGCATGCTCACAGCAAAGTGCCTCTTTCCTGGCAGGAATCGTTGCTCTTCCACTTTCGAGTTGTGACTACTTTCCTCTTCTAGGTTTGGGTTCGCATAGGCTGATGAGTTCAAAAGCTTGAGGCCCAAAGTCTATATCCCCCGTCTCTCCAGGTCACAATCTTGATAATATGAGCGTACAAACGATCGCAGTTCCTTTACGGAAATGCGTTTAATCCTGCCAGCAGATAGGACCCACCAGTAGTGGAATTTTTTAAAACACCGCTGATAAACACACTGATAAGATGCATTACATAAATAAACCCGTAATGCAAATGCTTAATTCACTATTTTTGCATTGTGTACAAAAGTCCTTTTCAAGAAATTTGCATGAACTTACAGATATAATGGCGAAGGAGAGGAAGCAAGAATTCTTCATTTTAAGTTTCTTCTTAAAACTTTGATCTACCTTAAATGGATGGGAGGCGCTTGGAGCGCATCACTTTCACGTCCCAGACCTCCCATCACGTTAGTCAATTGCCATCTCTTCACTTCATTAAGTGTTTACAGCTCTACTAGGTTTATCTCTTTCGTTTGCCTGTTCCCAACTAACCTATTGGAAGTGTGTTTCAGCCACATTTAAACATAAAATAAACACAACATTGTGAATACAAATAGTGAAGCGTCACCACATGAACTAAAGGACAGTAACAATACACATCAACAAATGGGCGTACCCATGCAAATGGATATTTTACACACTTTACAGCTCTCAATTTTAACCGAACTACCAATCTGTTTTACTAACTTAACAAAAAGGCTGCAATACACATCAGTTGATTAAAATGCGGGCATTGAGCCAGAGGTCGCTGAGCATGACGAGACCGAAGTGACTGCGGAGCAGGAGGAAGGTCCCTTCACCCTCCACCATTACTCTACCTCTTGCGTTGTGTGCCCTTGTGTCTAATTAAGCGTTCAAAGGAAGGCAGACTTCCAAAGAGTAGATCAAGCAGGAGTCCAGCGATAATCATCTTGAGACTACAATGATAACTAAGCAAAAACAATGCAGACTTTTGGAGTACACTTTCTGGAATTTCTGAACGGCTCAAAATGTGCCACTCAAAATCACAAAATAGGCGAACAAAGCCTCATTGTCATTAACAACTTTGAGAGGCGGATCCTTTTAACAGAAAATCTTTTTAATGAACAATCAAAATGCTCCGGCAAGTGATCATCAGACTGAAAAAGGCATCAAAATGCCATTTTACCCCAATCCTCTGACACCGATTTTAAGGCTCAACGATTAATCAGCCTCAAGTAGTGTGTCCCGGCAATGTCAACTTTGGAGGCTACTTCCTCAAAACTACCCTATACTGCAGTTATGAGTGAAGAATTATGTGCACATTATTATGTACATTTTTTGGATAAACTGCAGTGATTGTGCTGCTATGCAGCTTCTATACTTGAGGTTATAAATTACGGTACGAAAGCGCACTGGGTGTGTACACGCGATGCAACTCCAAATGGCTGCACTACCAGGAAAGAAGTTAATGGATCCGACCTTTCCCTCAGCACAAGCAACAAATTTTAAGTCATGCGCCTAAAATTAAACATTTCTCTCATTGTTGGCCAAGGAAAGCGAAGTTGCCTTTGTTTAGTTTCTACTGTCATGAGTGGACGTTCTTAGCAGTCGGCCGAGGGAGACGAAACTCACTTAGATAAGGGCTCAAATTTGCCTTGTTTTGGTACAGAGAATTCTCACGTTACTGCGAAAGAATTAAATTTATATGCGGTCAAGTTTTGTTGGATTAAAGCGACCTCCTTTGGTGCTTAATTGTGATAAATGAAACGGTCATTGCTCATACACTTTTAAACAAAAGGAGTATCTTGAACTTCAATGTTGCATATTTCTTAATTAAATGTATTTCTTCTCTTGGAGCCACAAACAGATGCGCCTCAGTGCTTTGCCTTTTATCCGACAGGACACCAAACCACTGTGTTTACACTGGGTGGCATTAGAATCACAATTCCTAATTGGAGACGTTGTGCTTTGTGGAATGGAACTTTTGACATCCACGAGAAATTCATACTCGATTAAACTGTTTTTGTCTGAAAGAGTTGTATACCTATCAAGGGGTGTGTTTAATCGGTCATAAATTTACCCACCACTGAATCGAAATTGTTGACCATAAATCAAGAAATAAACATCCACACCATTTAAAGGTTGATGTTTCCCAATTCCGCAAATTGATATATTTGACAACATCGTCCGTTGCAAGCCCATGCAGTAGCCTCAAGAAGCAAAAGATGGCAATCCGAAACTTACAGAAAGGTCATAAGAATTTGACACATTCTTCTGAAAAATAATCAAAGGCCAAGCGGCAAGAGTGTAGTTGATTGCATTTGAAGATGTCGTTCAGCTTCTCTCCTCTAAAATACTTCATGTTTAACTATGGTGTGATATTAAGTAAAAGGTAGAACGACGTTGCCCTTAAAGAAATTGGTATTTAAGCTTAAAAATGCGGTTTATAGGTTAGAAGGCAACTTGACGCACTGGAGCACCCACTTCAATGAACTATAAGGGACTACGATTTGCAAAACAGAAATCCTTCCATAGTGCTTCACTCCTCGACTCTGGTAATGAGCCTGTTGGAGCTGCCCAATTGTACCTTTGGTCAGTACCCTGACCTCCCGACTCGTCTAAAGGACCAACAATACATGTTTTGCCCTAGCATTGTGTCTTTGTGCGACTTTGGGATAGTAACAGATGCAGGAGACCTTCTTTTGGGGCGCGTGGGTTGATGAGGTTCGGTGGAGAAGAAAACTTTCCATCCAAATATTTACTCCGAATGAACTTCAAATACAGGCCCTCAACTTGTGCATTCGAGTTATGCGAGTGTGTGAACTCTTTATGCGCATGTGGCGTAAGTTTGGATTTGGATGGAGAATTTCATCACTTTACTGGATGACCATATCAAATGCTGGCGTGACAACATCCAACACCGGTTGACTATGATGCAGCAATTTAAATATCCCCCTTGACGCATGAGCGCTCAAGCATGACCAAGTAGAAATCCTCAATTTCAATACGATTAAACAGAAGATTTGGATGCCTATTTTGTGTGGCCATTTTCTTCATTTTGAAATACCATTAATTATTTGCTAACACAAAGGGGACAGTAAAGTGTTATCTTCTCCTAGTGGTGAAATGTTTTGATCTTGACAGAAGTTTGATTAGATTGGAGGAAAAGTCACAAGACTGATATACTTTGACAATGAAGACAATGTTCTCGAACTGTTAAAGCAGTCAAATCGCACAAATGGAAGCCGGAAAGATTATTGAGGGAAGTGGGATAAAAAATCTGCATTTATAGTGGAAATAACATAAATAAAGGAATGGGACATATAAAACTATTTCCATCACTTTATTAGGAGAAACTGGCTTTTGCCACACCTGTCAATCATTTTCCATTCCCAAAATTATAGGAAGACAGTAAATGTATGTTTGCTTAGGAAAAAGTGCAGGAACAGTATAATCGGCGATGCTTTCTGTAGCTGTTCCTGTTGAAACAAAATTCGCGCTCTAAAATGTAAGATTTTTTACCACTTGATCCTGTGGGCTTTAAAAATAACAATAATTACACAAGTTTACCTTGGATGAATGTATAACCTACAGTGAACGACCTCGAACTTTAGGAAATGTTCATGTGTTGAAATTTTATCTGAAAACTTTAAATTGCATTCCTGGGAGTCTTGTTCGCAATGTTTGTTAAGTGGTTCAAGGAAGAACGGATGGACTATTAAATGAGTGCTTCAGTCGTTAAAAGGAGGGCTTCTGCAACATCATGCCCAGTGGTTTTGGAACAAACGGACTACCAGCTTAAAACCGCGTAGGAAATACATTGATTAAATGAATTATACATTGTAAATTAGTGTGCTGATATTGACAGAAGCAATTTTAATGCTTTAAACATATACACCAAAGCTCCTCCATGGCACAGGCTGCTTATTTTGAAAAAGAATGAAGAACTTAGTGATGCATATCCCCTCAGATAATCCGCTGTTTATGGATTCACGGCCACAAGATAGGGCATGATTGAACCTTCGCATCCATTTCATTGGGGACATGCTTGTCGTGCCTCCAGAAGGCGGGATAATAGCTTATTTTCACTTCAGATATAGGCTCAATTAAATATAACCCGCTGGCTTTTAATTTCAATGGTCTCGAACTCAACTTTTAAACTGGATAACACCGTAATAAATGAGCTATGCAATGCCTATCATACACAAAATTGTGAGCAACTGAAATGTCCATCCTAAAAACCTGGTGGAATTAACACCTACTTATCCCCATTTCAGGTAATGTCGAATTACGAGAAATTTCATGCACTGTCATTATTTGAATACGTGTCGATGTGTTTCTTAATTTTTAATTCAAGTTGGGATTGCCATGCTTCAGTGAGTTAACCACGTCTATCGTCCGTCCGCAGCAAGAAGAAAGAGAAGTCAGTTGCTCGCGTGGGCAAGCCTTCTCGTGGAAAACCAATCAATGCAAAGTTTGATGCTCATTGGATGCAAGGTACAGTGCGGGGCGGGCACAGCCTGCGTACGTGACTGGTTAGTTTAAACTACTACTTGATTGGTTGTCGAGGCAGTCAGCTGGTCATTTATACAGTGCTTGAAAATACTGTTGGCTGCACCACGCGCAAAAGAAGCTCCGGGAGTACGGATATTTCTCTCATGATTCGTTTAATTCCGCAGTTTTAGCTCAGAATAACTTTCTAGCTAGTACGGCGAGCAACCAAACACCTCTTTGAAGTTCGATGGTTTCGGAACTCGGCCTTATTTATTCGGCAGGCAGACACTGGACCGGGTCTATGATCGAATTGGGCTATGGACACCGAGAACCGGCTTACAAGACAGCTCACAATTGGATGGCATCAGTAGACGAATCTACCTTTTCATGTTTACCTCGTCGCAGTGAGGATAGTGGAGAGACTCAGCGAGATCTAATCACCAGCGGGTTGATTCTCGAACAATTTCTCGGAGCCACTTCCGATTCGGGTGCTTCTTGCGAAGATGTTCCCGATGGTTCGGCTAATAAGTGTGTCTTACCCTCCTCAATTGCACGTTATCTACTTGAGTTAATCAAGGAGAAGGCGGGTTTTCGACACTCTCTTACAAGCCTCCTGCCTACAGAAATACAAGAATCTACTCAATGCTACGTGGGGTATGAATATCGTCACCGCAAAGTGCGCTGTCGCAGCTGTGAGCCGCAGAGTAAAGGCCCTCAGCTGGGAAATCCCACTCTTTCATCATTTCTATTTGAACGCCTCGTAATGGGTCGCCAGCACCAACCACGATGCCCTATTTCCCCACCTCGAAAACGTCTTTCGCTCTCGGACTCAGAAATATGCTATGCAAAAGTTTTAGCGGATTCTACAGGAGTTGAAGCTGCGAATCGCGATAGCACGGATTCGTCTCAAAAATGTCCAGTTACGACCTCTTCAGAGACCATTGAAGTGACTACCTCTCCAGAAGAACCCAAAACCACTCCAATTTTCGACGCAGGGGAGGAGATAATTGAGTCCGAAGAGGTAGACAACGAAGCCACTTTGTTGGATACCTCACCGGAGTCGAATGAATTGGGGGCAGTATTATGTGAGTCCACATCAATGGAAGTTCCAAAGATTCCCAAGAGAAAATCCGTGAGATTCGCTGATGATGTTGGCGATGCACTGTTTCAGGAAAGAGTAATAATCGACACAGCTCTTCCACCAACCTTGCACCTGGAACGACCATTCTGTAGGTTTCCTTCTAGATTTTTATTTACCAAATCACAAATCATGGATTATTGGTACCTAAGTTAGAGATGTATCACTACTAACATAATTTATAACCAGTTGAATGGTGTTTGACGTTTTTTAAGCATGAAGAAAGTTTAGAACAACTGTTCAGCTCAAGATCATTGCACATGATTGTAAATCGTTAGAGCACAACACATGGCTTTACTGCGTAAAGGTCAATTTCCGGGTGCTGAACGGTGGCTCGTCTTCTGGAAGTATTGTTTAGAACTCCAATTAGCTCGATTGCAGGCATAAAACACTTGGACCACCACTATCCTTCGTCTCAAATCCTCGCCAAGCAGCTATGCAGTTTTTTATTAACTTAAAACTGATTCCTTATTAAATAAGACTGTTTGAAGGAGACAATCAAGCCAATTTGGAAAACAGGGAAAACGGGCTCGAGGATGTTGATGAAGTACCCCTTATTATTAAGCATTATCAAATGCTATAAGCAAATCCAGATGTGCTGTCAAAAAGTACATCCGAAGACGGTACCTCTACCATAAATTCTCTGCCAAAAACTGAGCTAGTTGGCTAAAGCTTGAAGCATTTCATCTCTACGATTGATAAAAAATGTATGACTTGATTGTCAACAGGATTCGATAGGCAATATCAATGGTAATTTCTAAAGACTTGGGAAGCTAATTAGTTGAGTTAAAATAAGCTTTCATTTTCAATTCTGATACTTTTGAGTTTGAGACATTCTGTTGAAATCTGAATTTTAGCACTTGACGACGATTATCGAGATATGGGTGATCTGGATGATTCTTTGCCAGGAGTTTTAAGACCCGGCCTCAAGGCCCTTGGACCGAAGCACAACAGCCTACCTGACATCATGAAAATTCCTCCACCACTTCCAAAGCTGCATCACTCGAATAGCTCTAGTGGCACGCTCACTCTCAGCGCCTTGAAGTCCCCGCCCAGCCTGACCTCTCCAACTAATGGCCCTGCTAATTGGCGCCTCACATTTGCTCAACCTGCTGCCCAGTATTTGGCTTTCCGTCAGCGCTTGGAATCCAATTATGTGTCACTTGAAAATGTCTCAATGTCCAACCAAAAGGATGGCAATGAAAACCTCTACCTCTACGGTACTATCAAGGTGAAAAATATCACTTTTGAGAAGCAGGTCAAACTTCGGGTCACTTTTGATAGATGGGCTAGCCACAAGGATTACCCAGCTGTCCACAATGCTCAACTTTCCAGAAGCGGTGGCAATGCTCCCTATGACACGTTCATGTTCAACTTTAGTGTCGAAGTTTCCAAAATGCCTGAACCTCGAGAGCTTCAATTCGCCGTTTGCTTTCAGGCCGGACCGAACGGTAGCGGTGGAGAGTATTGGGACAATAATGACGGTTGCAATTACGTGGTGATAGAGGAGCCAGTTCTAATGCCCATGCAGCCCCTGGGAAGTGAGGAGTTTTTTCGCAATCGCCCATCGATGGGGACGGGGGAGAGCCCTATGCGGACTGCGGTGGGTGGTACTGAACGCGCTCCATTTTACTCCAGTCCGCCTGTCACTGCCTATACACAAGACTACCGGCCAAACTTCAATAATTTCTCCTCCCTCACATGCTACTCATCTTGGCAACACTATGCCTCGGAGTCAATGTACTACTAGAAACCAGTGGAGTTGTTCTAAACGAATCTCGTCTTTTCTCATCCCGCCTCCTTCATCTTCTCATCTTTCCTCCTTTCGTTCGCGCTGAAGCGCTGTCTTTCATTCATCTGTCAACCCCAATAATCTCTTACCGACTTCGCTCCCATTCTTCCATCAAAACATTAGACGAAGATGAAGCCGGTTTTGAATGCTGTATTTTAGGAGCTGCAAAAGAATTACCGTCATGTGTTAGAAGTCTCGCCCCTCTCCCTCTGTTTGCCGGCGTTAGAGCGAACTGTGGCTATGAATCAGGGAGAAGGATGAAGGCAGGGAGAGGGAGGGAGTACGTGATGCCGTCCTCTTGCAAATAAACGCATACGCCTTTACGATGTTTCGCTGCGCAACGTACACTCATCATCTACTGACAAACTCGGACCCACGCACACCTTCCGATCAAGCACGTACATATATTTTTATAATTCATCATGTAGAATTTTTACTCAGCTCCACACACAGATACACACACACACCTACAAATGTACGCACAGTTTGTATGCGGAGCGCAAAAAATGGGCCCCTTCCTTCTGCCACCGCATCCGCCAGTCGCACATACACACAGCCCACATGATTTTTTCATGCTTACTAATTTCAAAACGATGAGCCCACTTTTGAGACAAAATACAATGTAATCTTTGCTATAGACAGCAGTGTTTCCTTCACTTTGGTGGTTTTGGTGATTGGTGGCTAGGCCAGGGAGAAACTAACCCATAAAATGGCTGCACTGAAGGCGCTCGCGGCTATAACGTGGAAAAATGTGTAGCAGTGGCTTGTTGCTTCTGGTGAATTCGTTTATGACGGAAGCTATATTTCTGCTTTTTTTGGTAGTCTTGTTGTGTGCGGGTTTGAAGGTAGCCGGTCCCTATGGAAGTTCACACCCATGTAATTCTCAAACCCTAAATCATTTAATTAGGTTTGACAACAGCAGTTAATTATTCCCTTTTTTACCACCATAAAGTTGAAAATAAATCAAAGTTCTCTGGTATTCGGCTATTTTCGCTATCGCAAATTCATTTATACAGTCCCTCCTGTTGAATGTTTGCTCCATGCTATGGCAAAGTTGTAATATGAGCGCCATCTGCCGATCATCGGAGTCCCTAAATTGGCCTTTTCCAGACTTAACTTGATAGGAAGGATTCATGCCCTGTTATTCATCAAAAGACAGACACCTGTCCAAACATGGAGGAGACTTTATTGTATGTAAAAGCACTTCCATTCACTAGTACTTGCATACGAGAGCAAAATCTTTGCTTTGTTCAGCTGAAGGCTGGGCTTTAACCTTAACTAAGAACTTTTCATTTATTGTCTATTGCTGTTGGTGATATCTATTCAGCCTCGATTTAGTTTAAGCTTTGCCAGAAACAAAACTTGTTATCATCAAGCAATGATTCTTTTCATTTGATAGTTTCGATACCTGTCAATCACGTGACTCCTTTCAGTTCCTTTTTTTTTACACTTCACTGAAACCCAAACTGCGAGTCAGTTGCTGGTTGTTGATCACACCTATACATACAAACGGACGCAACATACATCCATTTATTTCACCATTCTGTCCTGCCAAGGTTATGCAGGTACCAGTTAGAATGAACCAAAATTCGGTAGTTGCATTTGTGACCTCAGTGATCTGTTATATGCTCGCATGGTTTCTGCTATAACCTGGCAATGCAATCTGTTGTTAATCTTAGGCTCAACGATTCGCATAATTTTGGCTTCTTGTTATGCTAGAGAGGCAAGTTAATGAATAGAGTAGCTGTGGTAAGTCGTTTTCGTTAAAGATACGTCATTCTGCTTAGAGGAAAGATGAACTGGGCTCGATGTGATGCAACGGCCAATTCGACTTTAGGAAGTTCTCAAAAAGCCAATCTCTTCAAAAGGACTGCCCTCCATTCCAATTTACGGTTGAAACAAATGCCACTGGATGCATTGCCTTTTCCCTCCCAAATTCCATAAGCATTGTGCATTAAAGTACAAAAATTAATTTGATTCTGCCCAATTTTCCCATCTGGTGAGCAGAACACACCTTATTACGTGAATAGAGAAGAATAGAGTCCGAAGACTAATTTGGTAGTGATGTATTATGAAGATGGCAGACCCCTCCCCCAACAAGATTAGGGCATTTAAAAGACCACGCTTGTGTGTAGGAAATCCACTATTTACGAGTGCTTCTAGTGGTTGTGTTAAGTCCCCAAACTCTCACTCCATTGATAAGCTTAGCTGGGCACGAAGCATAAATAAACATGCCTGACCCAGGAGGTAAAGTCACGAGGATTGCATTTAAGTATGATTCAAGCCAATCCCAAGCCTCGTCGTTGGCACTGGGGAATTCTCACGTGGTGGCAATAAACACTCACTCCACATTTGGGTCCTTGAAACATCCTTTCTCTCCTCATCATTTTTCAGTATAGCATTGGATATCCTCAGGGATACTATTTCACTTAATGCTAAGTCTAATCATCTCGATATTTTAAATTTTCAGTAACCGATTTAATCAAGGGAGCATAAGCATCACTATTTTGCTGTGATGGTTAATTAAAACAACCGGGCCAATGAACAAATTTCGTTTAAGAAATCGAGGGACGTGCTACAGGGTATTCATGTTCCACCCAGTACCGCGGGGAAACGATGAAGATTAACCTGAAAGCAATGGAATAAGTGGTTAAGCCAAATGTAACACATTTTGTTTACTCGAATTTTGCTTGAGACATGAGAGGCGGACAGTCGATGTGAAACACGGTGCTGGATGAGAGTGGGGACGACCTTTTAAGGCCATTATGGTCAACCCTCACTTCCTTCCCACTCAAATTCAAGCTCTCAACCCTTTGTAATGATTAATAAATCTGTTAAAATAAAATTTACTCCCGAAGAATCCCATACAAAGAGCCTTTACTGATCTCTCAAAAATCTTACACTAATTCGGAACTCCTAAATCAAATTTTAATGGGAAATTTAAGCCAAGATTTGCCTTAATTTACGCCTAGAAAATGTAGGTACAATTTTAATTCACTATTTCATTTGAAAAGTGATAAAATGGCAGGAGAACCACATATGCACACGTAGTCCAGTTCTGTAAATCACAACAAAGGAAGTTAAGCTATGGTCTTGATGATCCATGTAAAACACCGACCCAACCAAATTGCGCGACAAATACAAGAGTTTATTTAACTTGTCGTTTTGGCAGCGAGCCAGTGAGGGCTACGTCAAAGGTCTGACCTCCGAGTCAGGCCAGCGGACACAGTAGCTCCCTGTAGGTCGACAAGAGTTAATCGGCCCTAGTGTACCAGTTATTGTTAAAGTCTGGAGCCAGGGCACCCCCTGTTCTGTGTTAATCCCTTCCACAAAAAGCATTTTTGGAAAGGTTTAAAAAGTTTCAAAGTTCCTATTGCCCCACATAAAAGTTATGAAAAGAGAATTTCACTGCATAACTATAATGACTTCATCATTCGGATGAAGGTGCTGGGAATGAGATTTACACGATACCAACAATAAAAGTGTAGTCAACGCGTCCAATTCCAAATAAGTTGTAAGACTTTCCTTTGGGATGCAGCCTTATGAAGGCACAAGCATTGTAAACAGTTTCATCCAAAGACACTTCGTTTTACAATTTTTACGTGAACACTGGAATCTGTGATTCGCCTCTAAGGTGAGACGACTTTTGCTCCTTCCTCTCAAATCAGAATTGGATGGCACTTCAACCTTTTTATAGTTCCTCATTGACTGCGGCTATGAAATTCTTGATTCCATGTAGTACATTTGGAGCCATTAGGCGCACTGGGCGGGGTGCCTGCATCACATCAACACTCTTGGCCTTCACTACTATATAATATCTGTTGGGACCTTTGGTTAAAGGTAGCACTAAAGAGATGTGGAGATGTGGAGAGACCTGCAATTGAAGATGCTAACCTAACCTTTTCACCACTACGTCACGACACAAATTGAGGTTTGCAAACATCCTATCCACTGTTGTCCTGTCAAATTTGATTTTGCAAAATGTGCCTGCATTTGTGGACCTGAAGCAGAAGCAAATTGCCCTTTAAAAAAAGTTGTGCGATTGTCACAAATCAACGAGATTAATAAAAATGTGGACCACTTTTAGGGTTGAATCTGCAATTTGCTAGTTATGGAATCAGGTAAGTAAATAACAGTAATTTAAACTAGTCTCTTAAATGTAGTTGATGATTTTATGCACCGTTTTACTGCGTTAGAAAAGCGACTAGTTATTCCCCTTTGTCGTACAACCCCATTGCAATGGAGGAGTAGACGATTTATACAACAATTATTACCATACAATCTCAACACCTTTGTAAAAGGGCATTTTCCTTTAAAATTAATGGGACAAAATATGGACAAATCGAGCGTTTTCACCCAGCCCTACAGATGCACTACTTAAGGGCGTGCAGGAACCTTGGCAGCATGGGCCACTGTCTGTGAGGAATGGAGAGTGTGTGTCTAGCCAAAAGGTCCACTCATCACACACCCTTGCAGTGTCATCCACTAACCGCACACATGCGTTCGTATACACACCGTTCAGCCTTAACATCGTGCATACTTCGACAGTACCATCGCTGCCACGTTATTACTTGTCCCAAATTAAGGGGATCAAAATAGTGCATACACAGTCATGAGTCTAAGTAGCGAAGGAAAAAGGTGAGGAAGGGACTTAAGTAAGTGTAGCAAGCTAGGGCAACGCAAAGTATTCCCATGACACCTTCGCTTTACTAGCATTTATTACTTCTATTTTTCTATTCAAGGCAAGTCATTTTCCCCAAAAAGGTGATCAGTTGACTATTGGTATTGTGTGTGTGTGTGTGTGTGAGTACGGAGGCAGGGGAGCAAGCAATGAGGTAAACTGTGTTGTCGAATATCACTTGGCATGAAAACTCAATCACTCATCACATCAGAATGTAAAAGACATTTAACCCCTAAATAAGAAATGATTTCATGCTACTTTTAAATACCAAGTTGTT